AATTCTATTCCATTGATCTATGTGTCTGTCATTGTACCAGTACCTAATACACAGCTGACATAACCAAAAGAGCATTGCACTAGTAAAATGACAGACACATAGACCAACGGAACATAAATTACAACCCAGAAATTAACTTATCTAATCACAGTCAGCTAGTGTTTGACAAGAAAACAAAACCCATTAAATGGGAAATGGCAACATCTCTAATAAATGATGCTAACAAAACTGGACTTGTACTTGCAGAAAGCTAGAGCAAGATCTACATCTTAAACCATACACACAAATCAACTTAAGATAGAGTAGAGACTTAGGAGTAAAGCCCAAAACTATAAAGATTATAAGAGGAAAAAATGATACAAAATTGAGAAGGCCTAGCCTATGGTATGGCTGCTAAATACAGTCAGAAATGCACAATTAGGAGAGGATGACATCAATAAATGGAACTGCCTAAAACCACTGTATGCATCTAAAACTTTTTCCAATAAGATGAAAAGAATACATTTTGACTGAGGAAAAGAACATATAGCAATGCCATCTCAGACAAGGGTCTTATAACAAAAGTTTATAGAATCCTACGAGACCTCCAAAAGATAAAGGCTGATAACTCAATTACAAATTGTCCAAAAGACATGGAAAGACTTTCATGGAAGAATACATTTAGAGGGCAAATGAACACACAAAAAAGATGTTCAAAATCACTAGCAATAAAGTAGATACACATCAAAACCACAATGAGGTACAATCTCACCTCTGTAGCAATGGTAAACTTTAATAGGACAGCAATCAATGAATGATAGAGAGGGTATGGAGAGGAGAGTTTGGAACTTTTATAATTTTTTGGTGAGATTGTGAAACAGTACAACCACTCTGGAAGACAGATTGCAATTTTCTTAAAAAGCTGAACATAGAAATTCCGTGTGACCAGCTATTCCATTGGTAGCAATATACCCCGAGGAAAACATAATCGAGACACAAATACAAATGGAGATACATACACCAATGTTCATAGCAGCAATAGCAAGAAAATGGAAACAGATAAAATGTCCACTAACAAACTAAAAGAAATTGTGGTACATTTATATGTTGAAAAACTATGCAACACTCAGGAGCAATGCTTTTGAAAAATACTGTATAACATGGGAGAGGATGGAGAGCATTATACTGAGTGAAACAACTCAGTATTGTAAGGACAGATACTGCATAAGACCATTAGTGTAAGAATAGAAGAATTACTAGGAAGATGTGTACTTAAGTACAAAGGGGGAAGAGGAAGCAGGAGGGAGACAGAGGATAGAAAGGGTGTGGGAAATCTTGAGATTGAAGAGTTTGATGAGAAGAGTAAGGGGAGTGAAGGAATTAGAAGAGATTCCATAGGGACCAGCAAGGGTGGGGTCATGGTGGGCATGGATCAATGGTGATTCATTTTATAAAGCACGATATATGGTAATGATAATATGAAACACATGGTGAATGGAGGAATGCATGAAACACAATTTATGTAAATAAAACACAATTCATATAACTTTCGTATGTAAATCAAAACAAAATATTAACACACACACACACACACACTACTGAGAAACCACTATGTACATTTTAAATAGAAGGAAATATGTAGTTACTTTATATTTTATTCTTTTTAAACCTACCAATACTATACCCTAGCGGGAAAGCAGAGTAAACTACTGTGCTTGCTGGTGAGAAAGTAAAGTAGTAGTGTTGGCAAGAAAAAGTTATAAAATATAACATTTTTTAAAACTTCTTCATTATGAGTCTGTGTCCCTAAACGACGTATGTTTCTGAAGGAAGTCACTGAGATTTCCTACTCTTCACCCAGCCAGAGTCAAATCAATGTTTCTATGAATGTCACAAATATGCATTTCAAAGTTGCTCATAAATATACTATAAATTGAATGGAAGTGAAGCTGCAGCCTTGCATCTAGAATATAATCTGAACTCTGCAGTTAATACCTATTCACAGAGCTCTGTGAAGCCCAGTACCATATTTGGTCTGAACAGACCATAGCTCCGAAGGTAATTTCCACATCTAGCCTTTTTAAGGGTAAACCTGTTACCAGCAAAGGACCTGTATATAATTAATAATCATGCAATAAATGTAGGCTGGACTGGTTTGTAATGAAGACGGAATAATTATCCTAATTTTACTCACTGTTGTTGTTGTTGTTGTTGTTGTTGTTGTTGTTGCTGTTGTTAAGTGCCGTCAAGTCAGAGGCAACTCATAGCAACCCTATTAACAGAAGTCCTCAACACTTGTGTGACTTTCATCCTTTCTCCAGGTTGATAGTGTTTCTGGAGGCAAGACATTATAGAAGTGGATGCCACTCCTCCCTCCAAGCTTATTTTAATTGGGGAGCTCCACCAAACACTGTCCACTGTGGTTGAAAATTTTACTCACTTGGGTTGTCTTATTTACTAAACAATTACATACTGAAGAATAACATTTTACTGCAAGCACATGTTTGTTTCATTTAAGCCACAGTTAATCTCTGTTTTCTGCATCTTACTTATAATCTCTCTAACAATTTACACCTCTTCTTTCCTGAAATACTCTACTGAATTTTTAAAACATGGAGTTTCTGAATGAAAAATCTTAGCATTCCTTTCCCCTTAAGCAGAAATTACATGATTCATTCCATACTCACTGTCACCAGACAGCTGTCCCAGCGTCCTGTGATACTGTGGTTCCAACATAATCCCTGAAGTCTTCTTTTTGGAATCTTGTAAAAGCATCAAAAATACCTTTTTTGCAAGGGAAAAGAGAGCTTAGTATTAGTTTGTTTCTTTTTGCATGGCGTTTCTTTCCTTCTAACTTTTTTGTGGTTATCACATTATTACAAAAATGGATTCTCTCTCTCTGCAATATTTTTTTTGTTATTGTTATATACCATCAATTCAAGTATTACTTAGAGTGAGCCTACGAGTAGCAGGTTTAAAAAAAATAAAAAAAGAACCTTGCCTCATACTGTTGTTACAGTCACTGTGTCAATTCATCTTGTTGTGAATCATTCTCTCTTAATTTTCCAAGTAAAATGTCCTTTTCCAAGAACTGGTCCCTCCTAACAACATGCCCCAAATATGTGAGATATAGTTGCACCATCCTTGCATCCAATGAGTACCCTGGTATTATCTCCTCCAGAACAATCCTGTTTGTTCTCTTAGTAGCAGTCCATGGGATCTTCAATATTTTTCCCCAGGATCACAATCAAGACATCAAATTTTCTTCTGTCATATTTAGTCATTATGCAGTTTTCAAATACATAGGAAACTATTAAAAAGACCATAGCTTAGATCATGTGCACATTTGTCCTAAGACTGATGTCTCTGCTCTTTAGCACTCTACAGAAGTCTCTTTTCTTTTTAATATAAACTTTTCATTTTATACATATTTACTTAAAAAGTTGATATACATTGTTTTTCACACTGCATCTTTCTCAATTTTTAAACTCACGCGTTCCTCCACCCATCATATTGTGCAATCCCTATTATTACGCCCCCACCCACCAGTCCTCACCCCTGTGCTCCCACTCTCCCCGTCCTCGTATACATTTTACTAGTTATCTATTTCTACAATAATGGTCTTCTACAGTATTTGCCCTTATAGGACAGAGTTAGTTCATTTAGCACAATGCTCTCCAGTTCCTCTCAAGTTAGGCAGTGATTTACAAAATTGTTTTTCCTGTGTGCTGTGTAGTATTATTCCATCCTGTGGCTATACCATAATTTCTCAATCCTTGCGATTGTGGCTGGATATTAGAACTGTTTCCATGTTCTCATGATGGTGAATAATGCTGTTTTGAACATTAGTATACACATCTCCATTTGTGTCTCACTTCTCATTTTTTTTCCCTAGGTATATTCCAAGCAATGTCATATGGAATTTCTGCATTCAGCTTTCTGAGGAAATGCCAAACTCCTTTCCAGTGTGGTTGTATCATTTTACAATTCCACCAAATATGTATATATTTGTTGTTGTTGTTATGTGCCGTCGAGTCGCTTGCAACTCATAGCCACCCTATGTACAACAGCTCTAAACTCTGCTCTGTCCTGTGCCAATCTCATTGCCCCAACACACTCATCCTGGTTGCCCCAGTCACCGAATCAATCCATCTCCAAGAAGGCCTTCCCCTCCTGCGCCTGCCCTCCACCCTTCCAAGCATGATGTCCCACTCCAGGGACCTGTCTCTCCAAAGTATGTCAGACAAAGCCTCAGAATCCTTGCCTCCAAGGAGTAGCCCGGTTTAATCCTCTCCAGGATGAATCTGTTTGTTCTCTTAACAGTCTATGGCACCTTCAGCACTCTTCTCCAACACCAAAGCTCAAAAACATCAATTCTCCTTCTATCCTCCTTGGTCATTGTACAGCTCTCTGATGCATAACAAGTGGTTGCAAAGACCATGGACTATAACAGACGCACCTTTGTCTCCAGAGACACACCATTGCTCTTGAGTACTTTAGAGAGGTCCCTAACAACAGACTCTCCCATGGCAATTTGTATTTTAATTTCCTGGCTGCTGGTGCCAAGTGTGTTGATTGTGGAGCCAAGTAAACTAAAGCTCTGAACAATCTCAATCTCTTCACCATCCATCCTCATGCTGCCAGTTGGTCCAGTGGTGGGAATCTTTGTTTTCTTCACATTGAGCCTCAATCAATATTGAAGCCCGCAGTCCCTGACCCTCAGCAGCAAGCTCTTCAGGTCCTCCTCAGTTTCAGCAAGCAGGGTTGTGTCATCTGCATAACGCAGATTGTTTATGGATCTTCCACCAATCCTGATGCCACATTTCTCCTCATAGAGTCCAGCCTCCGAGATGATCTGTTCTGCTAACAGGTTGAAAAGGCATGGAGACAGGACACAT